CCCATACGGATCTCCACCGAAGGCCCCAATGGCGGTGTTCGCATGCGTTTCCCCCACCCGGCTGAGCGCTTCGTGGCCCAATGGGGGGCTCCACCGAAGGCCCCAGTGACGGTGTTCGCATGCGTCTCCCCCACCCAGCACAGCGCCTCCTGGTCCCATGGGGAGCTCCACCGAAGGCCCCGATGGCGGTGTTCGCATGCGTCTGCCCCACCCAGTACAGCGCCTCGTGGCCCCAGAGGAAGCCCCACTGAAGGCGTCAGTGTCGGTGTTCGCGTGCGTCTGCCCCACCCAGTACAGCGCTCCGTGACCCCATAGGGAGCTCCGCCGAAGGCCTCAGTGACGGTGTTCGCATCACCCCCCCCCCACCCAGCACAGCGCTTCGTGGCCCCATAGGGAGCTCCACCGAAGGCCCCAGTGGCGGTGTTCGCATGCGCCTCCCCCACCCAGCACAGCGCTTCGTGGCTCCATAGGAAGCTCCACCGATTGCCCCAATGGCATTGTTCGCATGCGTCTCCCTCACCCAGTAGAGCGCTCCGTGGCCCCATGAGGAGACCCCCCGAAGGCGATACCCGCAACGACGGTACTTACAATTGCATATGGTTGAGTCCTTCGCCAGGATAACTGTTTGGAGGCCACATGCTGGATTCACATGTGGAGGACCACCGTGCTTGGCCATACAAGGACCGAGCACCGGAAAGACGCTTGGCCATATCTGCATCCAACTCTCACCCAGGCCGGCCGCGCCATGTGTATCCAGCTTCCCCGAGGCAACGCTGATTTCTTGTAACGAGCTACACCTACTTACGAGCGCAGCCACGTCTCACTGGTGGGCTGCGGCCACCCGTGTACAGCTTAGGCCTTCGCCTGCTTCCCCGTGACAAAACAGCAAATCCGCGCAGGCATGCATCGGGCCTGCTGCGGGAGGAGGAGGAGGAGGGGGAGAGGGAGGAGGACAAGGAGGAAGGAGGAGGACGAGAAGGACGGGGAGGAAGGAGGAGAAGGAGGAGACCATCGGCCCAGGGCGGGAGGCGAAAGGAAGCTCGCCCGCGGGCCAAAGAAGCCCGCTGCCTCTCCGCGGGGAGCTGCCCAGACGCGGCGAAGCCCTCGCGCCAGAGGCAAACCGAGACAAACAGCAACACCCACAGTACCGGACAGCGCGGGGAGCGGGACGCACGTTCTCGCTCCCCTCCCGCGGCCTCGGGAGGAGGAGGGGGAGGAGGAGGAGGAGGAGGAGGAGGAGGAGGAGGAGGAGGAGGAGGAGGAGGAGGAGAAGGAGGAGGAGGAGGAGGGGGAGGAGGAGGAGGAAAAGGAATAGGAAGAGCAGGAGAGGGAGAAGGAGGAAGAGGAAAAGGAGGAGTAAGAAAAGGAGGGAGAGGAGAAGAAGAAGGAGAAACCTCCGCCTCGGAAGCCATGTAAGCGGGCGAGAGACGGCATCTTGATGGGGGCAGGCCCGTGGCATGGACCGCCAGAAGCTCGAATTTCAGGCAACTACTGGGAAGGAGAAAGAGGCGGAGGAAGAGGAGAACGACAACGGCGACAACGACGACGACGACGACGACGGCGACGACGACGAAAACGGCGGCGGCGGCGGAGGCGGCGGCGGCGGCGGCGATGGCGACAGCGACGGCGACGGCGACGACGAAAATGACGAGGGCGAGGACGAGGGAGAGTCTCTTCCGCGTGCCCATCCTCATCATCATTATCACCATCACCATCGACACCATCACCATCACCAGCACAATCACCATCACCATCACCATCATCAGCATCATAATCAGCATCAGAATCAGCATCAGCAGCAGCATCATTATACTCATCAACATCATCAGCATCATCATATGTATCATCATCCTTATCAGCAGCAGCACTATATTCATCACCATCATCATCATCAGCAGCAGCATCATCATCAGCATCATCACCTTCATAAACAGCATCCACATCATCCAGCATCACCCATCATCATCATCATCATCATCATCATCATCATCATCAACATCATCATCAGCATCATCATCCTCGTCCTCGTCCGCGTCCTCATCATCCTCCCCTTCATCATCACATTCGCCTTTACTATCACCATCACCATCATCAGCAGCAGTCAGATCTTCTCATCATCAGCATCATCATCATCAGCATCATCATCAGCATCATCATGGTCATCATCATCATCATTATCATCATCATCAGCAGCAGCAGCAGCAGTAGCATCGTCATAAGCATCATCATCATTAGCATCATGACCATCATGATCAACAGCAGCAGAATCATCAGTCTCAGCATCATCATCATCATCATCATCATCATCATCATCATCATCACCATCATCATCATCATCATCATCATCATCATAGTCGTCATCATCATCAGCAGCATCATCAGCATCAGCATCATCATCAGCATCATCATTAGCATCATCAGCAGCAGCATGGGCATCTCCTTAGTATATTTCTTGTTGACTATTATTATACGCATTCAAAAGTCCATTACTATTCTGACCTTTCTTAGTATTGTTCGTATGCCTATTATTATTAATAATAATAATAATACTATTAATAATAATAATAATAATAATAATAATAATAATAATATCATTCATCTTCTTCTTATCATAATTATTATTATTATCCTCCTCATCCACCCCATCCTCATCCTCCTGATCCCATCTTTCTTCGTCCTCCTTTCTTCCCTCAGTTCCTCCCTCAATCCACCTAAATTCCTGCCTCAGCCCACCTCCTGCATGTCCCTCCTCCTCCTCCTCCTCCTCCTCCTCCTCTTCCTCCTCCTCCTTCTCGTTCCCCATCGCGCTGCTCAACCTCCTACTCCTCCTTCCTACCTCATCTATCCCGCCTCCTCCCTTCTCCCGCCCTCCTCCCCTCGTTCCTCCTCGTTCTCATCCTGCTTCTGATCCTCATCATCCTCCACCTCCTCCTCATCCTCCTCCTCTTCCTTATCATCCTCCTCTGACGACATCGCCGACGACGACGACGACGACGACGACGACGACGACGGCGGCGACGGCGACGACGGCGACGACGACGACGACGACGGCAACGCCGGCGGCGACGACGACCGAAACGACGACGACGAGGACGAGGAGGACGACGACGACGACGACGGCGACGACGGCGTCGACGACGACGACGACCTCGACGACGACGCGCCTCGAAGAGCCGGTCGAACTCGGCCTGGCGCTCCCTGCGCCGCCGGTCCCGGTCCGCGCCCGCGTCGACTGGGGCGGGCCGGAGGAACAGATGGCTCCCTCCTCCTCCTCCTCCTTCTCCTCCTCCTCCTCCTCCTCCTCCTCCTCCTCCACCTCCTCCTCCACCTCCTCCTCCTCCTCCTCCTCCTCCACCTCTCCACCTACTCCTCCTCCTCCTCCTCCTCCTCCTCCTCCTCCTCCTCCTCCTCCTCCCCTCCCCTCCTCCTCATCCTCCTCAATCCTCCTCCTCCTCCTCCTCCTCCTCCTCCTCCTCCTCCCTCCTCCTCTTCCTCGTCCTGCCTGTCCGACCATGCCGCCCACCCACCCCATCCGCTGGATGGGTACGCCCGTGAGCCTCGCGAAGGCCTCGCGAATGGTCGTGGCCCTGTGGGCGTGGCGTGGCGGAGGGTGCCGGCGCGCCGCCCCTCCCTCCCTCCCCCTGTGGGTGTGGCGTGGCTCGTCGTCACCGTCGACGGCGTCGTCGTCGTCCGTCGGCGTCGTCGTCGTCGTCGGCGTCGTCGTCGTCATCGTCGTCGTCGTCGGCGTGGCCGTCGGCGTCGGCGTCGGCGTCGACGTCGGCGCGTCGGCGTCGGCGTGGGCGTTGGCGTCGGCGTCGGCGTCGGCGTCGTCGCCGTGCCACCCCCATCCCATCTGGGAGGGGCCTGTGGAACACTGGGACCCATCCCATCTTGGGGGGGGGCCTGTGAACCCGCGACCCTGGGTCATATATCATCGGGTCAAGGAGGGGACGCCGACGCCGACGCCGACGCCGACGCCGAAGCCGACGACGACGACGACGACGACGACGACGCCGCCGACGACGATGACGACGCCGACGACAATGACGACGCCGACGCCAACGCCGCCGACGACGACGGGCGACGACGACGACGACGACGACGACGACGACGACGACGACGAGCCACCCCACACCCACAGGGGGAGGGAGGGGGGTGCACCTGCACCCTTCACCACGCCACGCCCACAGGGCCACGACCACAACGAACGAACGCACGAACGACCACCAATGCGGACAGCAGTGTGGGCCTACTGGAGACCAGGTGAGTGAGGCCGTGGTCTCCAAAATACTATTGTATATGGTGAGGCATGCATGCGAGACATATATAAAAAGTTATGTGAAACAGAAGGGGGGAGGAGGACGGGGAGGAATCCTTGTTGTTAGAGTCGTCGTATATCGGTGGTGCTGCGTCGGTGGGTGCGCGTGTCGTCGTAACGAATGCTCTATGGTGGTCTGCGTTGGTGCCAGGCCATGTGTTTTTGTGATCGGCTTGGTCTTGTCTGGGATTGGCGTTGGCGTTCATGGAAGGTGCTCATGTGGACGTGGAGGCGAAGCGAAGCGAAGCGAAGCGAAGCGAAGCGCCAGAGTCGTGCGCGCTCCTCACGGGAGCCCGCCCGTGCCCGTGAGGGCATGGCGTGGAGGCCGCGCTTCGGCGAGGCGCGCCTGCCGAGAAATGACTACCTACCAGACCACCCCAACCCAACCCGAAGACCCGAATTTGACCCGAATTTCGGGTTGGGGGGGGGTACGGGTTCCATGTGTTTTTTCGACGTTCCCCGACCCCCCCCCACTGGAAATCGAGGGTAAATCTGAGCCTTCGGGTTGGGTTGGGGTGGTCTGGTAGGTGGTGACTCACGTGACCCGGCTGAGCTGATCGAAAATGTCCATCGCTCTGCTGTCAAACGGCCGGAACAATCCTGGTGCCTCATCCTCCTTGCCATTCTTCTCCTGCTCGTCCTCGCTCATCCCCTCCTCGGCGTCGCCGTCGGCGCCGCTCACGGGCAGTCCCGCGAACTCCGAAACCGGCGGAGGCTCGCCGGTCTCCATCTTGAAACCCTCCTCCTTATCCTCCTCGGCTGCGCCGTCGGAGCCGTTCCCGGGCAAGTCCAGAAGCTCCGGAGCAGGCGGAAGCTCCGCGGATGGCTTCTCGGAGAGCTTCCCGAGGTCAGGTTCAGCAGCAGATACTCCACCGCACCGCTGTGCAATCATGTGGTCTATGCGGCTGAAGTCTTCCAGGCTAGTCCTGAACAGCAAGAGCTCCATGCTTGCAGCACGTGTCGCCAAGGAAGACGCATATGTGTATGGGCTCCGTGTTGGTAGAGGCCATCCGATCAAACATATCGTCCATCTTCTTCTCGATGCTGTCAACGACGATGCTCATCGCTTGCTCGACGTACTTGTTTTTAATATCCTTCTCGATGCTCCGGGTGCCCGTGGCCATTGCGTCCTCTATGTTCTTCTGCGCGATCTAGTCTACCATATATCCGATCCTCTTCTCGACATGTTCAGTGACCACGTTGATCATTTGAGCCGTGCTCTTCTGTATGATCGTGTCCGTCATGAGCTCGATCCTCCTCTCGATGTTCTCGTGTAGTTACACGATGTCAGAGAGTTGCGAAATTACTTTATGCTGGAATTCTGCGACTGCCGCATGTCGCCTCATATGGCGTGCCAGCCACATCGATATCTTTCTGTACTCCTCCAAACCCGGCGGTGCTGAAGCAGGGCGCGAAGAATTCATGCTGAGGAGAAGTAGTGAGCTGTGAATGCTGTATGTGAGTTACACCATGCAGACTGTGCTTCCGCCTCGAGGAAGGCTTGAGCCAAAGGAGGCTGGAGGTCGAGGAAGCAGACGTGGCTTGCTTGCATGTCGACGTGGTGGCTGGAGGTCGAAGAGTTTTGAGATGGTGGAAGCTGGAGGTCAGTGGGTGGAGGTCGAAGTGGAGCTCGGGTGCTGGATGGTGGACGTCAGAGTGCTGAGCTGGTGGAGGTTGGAGGTCGGCAGTCGGAGGTGGAACCGGAAGGTCGGTTGCCGGATGCTGGAGGTCGGAGTGCTGAGCTAATGGAGGTCAGAGGTCGATATAGGTGGAGGAGGTGAAAGTGTGATCAGTCGGCGGCTGGAGGTCGAGATGTCGAACTGGTGGAGGCCGGAGGTCGATTGGTGAGGTAAAGTGGAAGGTCGGATGCCAGATGCTGCAGGTCGGAATGCTGAGCCGGTATGGGCTCGAGGCCAATGTTCTGGTCGACCCAAATTGGGGCCCAGCTGCAAGGGGGTGGTGCAAAAGATTTGGGGCAACTGTGTTGCAAATGTACTGCGCCAGAGAATTGTATTGCATTGTATTGCAAGTAATGTATTGCACGCGGGAACCCAGCAATACATTTGAGCCCCAGAATGTATTGCACGCCCCAAATCTATTGCAACCCCGCAAATCTATTGCACCACATCTATTGCATTACCCCCTTTTCGCTGGACCCCCTTTTGGGTCAACCTGAAATGTGGAGGTGGGGGTGGAAGTCAAATGCTGGATGCTGGAGGTCTGGGTGTTGGGCTGCTGGAGGCTGCCGGTCAGTAGGTGCAGGTGTAAATGGAGGGTCGGGGGAGCGATCCAAGGGGGGGAGCAGTCCAATTTGCGAGTCCTTCGCGAGGCTCGCGGGCGTACCCATCCAGCGTGAGGGGGGGCGGGCTCGATCCCATGCACACTGTGGGGGAGGGGAGGGAGAGGACGACGCTGGGATCTATATATATTATATATATATATATATATATTCATGTGTATATATAAAAATACATATATATATATATATATGTGTGTAGATGCATGTGCGTACGCCACCGTGCCCTTGAGGCACGAGTTGGAGTGTCCCTTGTTGGATCCCCGCGAACCTCAGCCCTCAATCCTGAGGATCCTTTAAGGGTCCGGACCCAAAACTGCCAAATCTCCTTGGGCGCTCTGCGTGGCCCCTGGGGTTCGCGGCGTCTCGTCGCATGACTTCTTCGGGCCCACGGAGGCGGGCCAAGAGGGCCATGAGAGGCCCCAGAGCCGGTGCGAGAGGGCCCCGAGTCGCCAATCAATCGGTCCGAGACGCCCAAGATGGCCTCCAATCGGCCGAAGAAAAGAAAGCAAGACGTCTCAAGAGGCCTCCGAGAGCCTTCCCAAACAGGCCAAGAAAGGCTTTTCATGCCCCGATGGTTTTTCGACGTCTTTGGCTTTCTCGCCTTTTCGGCTTCCCGACGCTCTAAGACGCCTTGAGATGCCCCCAACATCGCCCCAAGACGGCCCAAGAGGCCTCCAAGAGGGCCCCAACCCAAGAAGGCCCAAGAGGCCTCCGAGACGGCACAAGAGGCCCCCGAAAGGCCCCCCGTAGACCCACAAGAGGCAACCAAGAGGCCCCCAAGAGCCCCAAAGAGGCTCCGAAACTGGCCCCAAGAGGCCCCAAAACTGTCCCCAATACGCCTCCGAGAGCGCTCCGAAGAGACCCCAAGAAGCAATCCTGAGGACTCTGACCCACAATGCAATCACGCTGGCAGGATGGGCCGAAGGCCATAAGAACGAAAGCGTTATTATTACTAATATTGTGAATGATACTACGATTCGTCTTAGTAGTAGTAGATTTGTTATACGCATTTGTACTACTGTTGGCATTAATAGTGATAGTACTGTTACATTGATAGCCAAATCATTCGTAATACGCAAATAGAATAACAAAAACAATGATGATCTTAGAAACAGTAGCATTAATAGTAGAGTTATTAAGATGGTATCATAGTGTTGCTATTCGTATTATCAGCACGATGAGCTTATCACTATGACTACCACTAGTAGGGTCCGTAGAATTACGATGGGTCGCATTATTACATATACATATGTCATATACAGATGTGCATCAATATGCATGTCTATGTGTCTATACGAGTGTGCACAATCATATCGATCGATCTATCGACCTATCGATCCATCGATCTATATATATATATAAAATAAGTATACATATAGTTGCTTCTAGAAATGATTCTATAGATGTGTGTACACACAACACACAACTATCGATCGATCTATCCATCCATCTATCGCCGCCACCCCACGCTGCGGCGGCGCCAGGCGGCCTGGCCTGGCAGAGCCGCGGCCCTGTCCGAGATGGAGGCTCAGGCCCGCAGCCCGTGCTGGCGGCCTGGGCTGCAGGCCTCTGCGGCGCCGGTGGCCGAGAGCTGCTCGGCTTGCAAACCCCGTCGTCCAGCGGTCGTGGCCGTGGCCGTGGCCCTGTGGGCGTGGCGTGGCGGAGGATACCGGCGCACCCGCCCCCCCTCCCTCCCCGTGGGTGTGGGGTGGCTCGTCGTCGTCGTCGTCGCCGCCGCCGTCAACGTCATCATCGGCGTCGTCCGTTGTCGTCGTCGTCCGTCGGCGTCGTCGTCCGTGGTCGTCGTCGTCGTCGTCCGTCGGCGTCGTCGTCGTCGTCCGTTATCGTCGTCGTCGTCGTTGTCATCGTCGTCCGTCGGCGTCGTCGTCGTCCGTCGTCGTCGTTGTCGTCGTCCGTCGTCGTCCGTCGGCGTCGTCGTCCGTTGTCGTCGTCGTCGTCGTCTGTCGGCGTCGTCGTCGTCCTCCTCCCTGTCCTGTCCTCGTCGTCGTCGTCGTCCGTCGTCGTCGTCGTTGTCGTCGTCCGTCGTCGTCGTCGTCGTCGTCCGTCGGCGTCGTCGTCGTCGTCCGTCGGCGTCGTCGTTTTCGTCCTCGTCCTCGTCCTCGTCGTCGTCGTGGTCGCCGTCGCCGTCGCCGTCGCCGTCGCCGTCGCCGCCGCCGCCGCCGTCTTCACCAGCAGCAGGAGCATCAGCAGCAGAATCAGCATCAGCATCAGCATCGGCATCACCATGACCATCGCCATCACCACATCCCCAACCGCCCCATTCCCGGCTCACCTTTTCTCTCCCTCCTCATCCCCCCCCCCAAGATCCTACCCCTCCTCCCAAGTGCGCGCCTGTGCTCGCGGAAGCCCCCGAAGCCCGGCCGCGCGAGGCGTTCAGACGCTCGAGGACGACGTCGAAGTCCTCCTTCGGCGCGGCGCGGGCGCACGCACGTGCACACCAGACGCACAGGCGCGTGCGCAGCACAGGACACACGGCACGCGTGCACCACCACAAGCCCACGCACACCGCGCTGCCAGGGCACACCATCGCAGGCCTGGGCACACATGTTCCACCGCCTCCTCCCTCTCCTCCGGCTCCTCCTCCTCCATCCTCCTCAAGCCGCCTGGGCTCAAGCCTTTCTGAGCCCGTGGCCTGCCCGCCGCTGAACCCTCATGGTGCTGGCTTGAGCGCCTCCGCCCGCCTGCGGCCGTGCGCGTGGAGGTGAAGTGCGGGTTTTACCTTGGGATGTTCTTCGTCTTCTCTGCATGCTGATTCTTGTCCCGCAGGGGCTCGTGAATGTCCAGCTGTTCGACCGACTCTTCTTAATCAGCCAGCGCGGCACCGTTTCGTCGGTCCTCATCGTGTCTGACGTGCAGGCCGCCAGCGTCCTGTTCGGGAACGGGCGTCTTGCAGGAGGCGAGCACGGCGATCTTGGTACGTACCAGCAGTGGTATGCACAAGCTGGTCCGGCCGCCGCCGCCGCCGATGCGCCTGCCCCTGGATGCTGGGCGTGGCCAGGTGAAGTCCACCAAGGAGGAGCTGGTGCCCGTGCCGCCGCCGCCTCCGGCCATGCTGAAGCCGCTGGACCAGGTCGAGCTGAAGATTTTCAGGGACCAGAGCATGTACCCGAAGGAGTTCGAGGAGGAGAGGGAGGGCTTGCACAAGAAGCACAAGTTTGTCGACAGGACGTCCGAGGAGGTGGAGTACCAGATGAGGAGGTTGGCGGCCCCTCCAAAACGCCTCCGCCGCCGGGAGTGTTCCACAACTCGGACCCGTACCTCAAGATAGTGGAGGCGCCCGCTGCGACGACGTACCCGAGGTCTTCTACCCCGTGTTGGTGGGCGAGGGTGCCGCACCCGCCGCCGCCTCGGGGGCTACGGACCCCGAGGCCACCACCGAGGCGATGGCCGCTGCCGCAGGTACCCCCGCCACCAAGGGCCCTGTGAGGCAGCCTCGCAAGGAGTTGCCGCCCGACGAGCTCAAGGAGAAGAGGCGGCAGCGGCGGGTCAACCGTAAGGAGAAGAAGCGTGGTCGACAGGCTGGTGATGTTCTGCAGTCGGAGCTTGACGTGATCGCAGCGCGTGATAGTGATGAAGGCGAGGCCGTTCCTGAAGAACTTCAGCAAGAAGATTTCGCGGTTGCCGACGAGGCTGGTGGAGCCTCTCCAGATGAACGTGGAGGAGATCTTGCGCTATCAGAAGATGTGCACGTACAGGCTGCTGCTCATGGTGCGGATGCTCCTTCGGAGCTTCGTGAAGGCGTCGACGATTTCGACGAGGGCTCGGAGCCTACCGGAGAAGCAGAGCACGATGCGGGAGCGCACATTGCTGGTGGAGATGACTTCGGCCTGGACCCGCTTCTCTTGCAAGGCTGGGTGCAGCAGCTCGTCGAAGGCGAGATCGACACGAACGAGTTGAACAAGCTCGTGAAGTCGGCCTTGATTGCGGCGCACTCTTGATTGCGGCGCACTGCTCAGCTACAGCATCCAGCTCTGCTTCATAGATCTGTCTGGCCGGCCTTCGACATAGAGTCACGTCCCTCGTCTCCGCCAGCATGTACGCGGTGTTGTACCGCTTCTGATTTCTTTTTCCAGCCTGCCGCCGCGCCGCCCAGCAGTCGTGTAGGCAGTCGCACAGCAAAAAAAATCCTGCTCCATCCTCCTTCTTCCTGCTCCTCCTTCATCCTCCTCCTCATCCTCCGCCGGCGACGTGTCGCGAGAACATGTGAAAGGGCTGCGATACAGCTGCTTGCAGCCGGCACCGGATGCAGAGACAAGGAGGCCCAGGCGAGCCGGCGTGCAGAAGGACCGATCAGAGCCCGAGGTTATGTTGCTCCCATCGTACTTAAAGACCACATCCAGAAATAATTTCGAGCACCCGGAAAAGTGTCGAAAGAGTGTCGACACAGTGTCGAAACAGTGTCGGACAAGTGTCTCCTAGACTACCTACCAGCCCACCCCAACCCAACCCGAAGACCCGAATTTCGGGTTGGGGGGGGTAAGGGTTCCACGCGTGTTTTTCGATGTTTCCCGACCCCCCCCCCAACTAGAAATCGAGGGTAAATCTGAGCCTTCGGGTTGGGTTGGGGTGGTTTGGTGGGTGGTGACTCCCAGGGCCCGACACGTGGAAATCCGCCAGTTTCGGTACTGACTTGGTGCTCTGGTGGTCAAAGCCAAAGTACGTTGGAGCATCAGAGCCCGAGGCGGGGAAGAGGCGTACAGTCGGCCCGCAGCGGGGAGGCGCGCGTCCAAGCGGCGCGGCGCGTGGGTCGGCCGGCAGGTGGGCGGCCGCAGCGCAAGACAGCAAGCCAGGCAGGTGCCTCCGGGCCCCGCTGGGGGGAAGAGCCTGTGCGCACACTTCTTCCTCCGGCGGCCGAGCGACGTCACTGCAGCGGGAGTGAAGGCGGGGCACGCTCGGCGCGCCAGTTCTGCCTGGCGCGAGCCTGTGCACACGCACACGCACACGCTGTTTGCGTCGGCGGCTATAATTAGGCAGAGTGGCTGCGCCGGCGGAGGAGCACTGGCAGGGCACACCGCCAGAGGCGGCGGAGAGCTTGAGAGATCCGCCCACAAGAAGAGGTGAGGATACCCAAAGGCACCGATGCTGCTACTCCCCAGACCTCGCCCGGGGTGCGTTCTGACCAGGATTTCGAAGCGAATCCAGCGGCGGCGACGGGCGCCGCCCAGGAGGCCCCCAGGAGTGGAACAGCGGGGGAAGGGCGGAGGTATGGGTACCTCATTGAAGGGGCCCCAGGACACACAGATAAATACACACCAATCAAAAGATTCCCCATATTTTCCCATATTTTCTGGGTTTCTGTCTTCCCCCCCACCTGGGGAATCGAGGATGAATTGTGTCTGTGTGCTTCTTTTCCTCCTGACTCATCCTCCTCTGATGAGGGGAAGAGGGCTCCAGAACCCTCAGACGGACTGCCCACGGCCAGGGCAGCGAGGAACGGAGAGAGCACGCCCGACCCCCAGCAACCCCGAGGCCCGCTGCAGCAGCTCGGGAAACGAAGCACACCGCCACCCCATCGGGGCTGTCCGACCAGGGCCAGGGGGGAGGAGGAGGAGGAGGAGGAGGAGGAGGAGGAGGAGGAGGAGGAGGAGGAGGAGGAGGAGGAAGGAGGAGGAGGAGGAGGAGGAGGAGGAGGGGAGGAGGAGGAGGAGGAGGAGGAGGAGGAGGAGGAGGAGGAGGAGGAGGAGGAGGAGGAGGAGGAGGAGGAGGAGGAGGAGAGGAGGGGGGGGGAAACCTTCGTGCACGAGGGCCCCTGACGCGCTCCTGCCGCCACAGCCCGCCTGCCCTCCCCACCCCTCCTGTTGGTCGCGACCCCTGGTCTCCCCCCCCCCCGTGCCATGAAGCAGAGGGGCCCCGAGAAGAGAGGGGGGGGGGCCCTGGATCCCTCGCACGGCAGAGGGCCCCGGGGAGCCCCAATGTCAAGGACGCCCTTTCCTCGGCGCCCCTGCCCCTCACGAGCCAGCCTCGAGCTGATCCCTGTCCCTGAGATCGACAATCCCAAGGCGATGGCAACCTTAGGGATGTGCGCCCTCAGAAACCGAGGGGGGACCCTTGCGGTCGGCACCGAGAGAAGGAGATGTCCATCGTGGGGATCAGGACATGTTTCAGGCTGGTACGGCAGGTTCCTGTCGTGTCGACCCCGGCTCTGTTTCCTGACACCGCGGAGATCGTTCCACCTTGAACGATCGGCAATTTCCGAAACGTCCGATCGTTCAACATCGACCAATTCTGGGTCGCCGGCGGCGTTCAACGTTGAACGCTTCGGGGATCTTCTGACCCGGGTCGATCCAGACCCGGGTCAGTCAGGCCTTGCAGAATCCTGCAAGATCCTGCACCCAAACCTGGGCCAATGCGAAGGATCCTGGCAAACCCTGCGGGACCCTGCACCCAAGCCTGGGCCAGTGCGACCCTGGCCCTGCAGGATCCTGCAAGATCGGGCGCTCTGGCTGACCCAGGTTTGTCGGGAGTGGCCAAGAGGGGGGTGTCCAAGAGGGGGGGGTGCAAATCACGACCGGCGGCACGTGCGCGGCTCAGCGGGGGGGCCAGGGACGTAATGAAATAAGAAGAGGCGCCATGAAATCGGGGGAGGTATCATGGCCCCCGCCATGATATCCATCCCCCCCCCCTAGTCATCACCCCCCTCTTTTCCGCCCCCGAGTTTGCATTTACCCCCGCCTCCAAGGCTCCCGAGCGCTGGCAGCGGGGTCGCCGCCGGTCGGCGCGGCGCGGACGCTGCCGCGGCTCGCTCTCCGCGCGGGGCATCTGCGGTCCACAATCCGCCGAAAGCCGAGGCGCGCCCCCGAGGAGGAGGAGGGAGGAGGAGGAGGAGGAGGAGGAGGAGGAGGAGGAGGAGGAGGAGGAGGAGGAGGAGGAGGAGGAGGAGGAGGAGGAGGAGGAGGAGGAGGAGGAGGAGGAGGAGGAGGAGGAGGAGGAGGAGGAGGAGGAGGAGGAGGAGGAGGAGGAGGAGGAGGAGGAGGAGGAGGAGGAGGAGGAGTCCCCGCCCCCTGACGGGCGGGAAGGGGACACGGCCACGCCCAACGAAAGCCCCGCGAGGCCCCCGAGGGCACACCCACAGATCGCCCGGCGCACGGACGGCCAGCCCTGCGTGACCCCGCGGCAGCTCCCCGCCCCGAGGAGCAACAGCGCGTGGCGACGAAGAGAGTACGATGCCGTCGAGGTAGCTGTTTTCGACGGCTGCCGCCTGCGAGTGCCAGAGCGAGGATCCTCCCGCTCTCCGCCTGAGCTCGGTCCAATTCTGGAGGCGGGCGGGGGTCTGAACTGGCTGGTCACTGCACCGACCTTGCAGACGTGCTGTAGCGGATTTGTGCGTGGATGTCTGTCGATGCAGAACCCCGAAACGACGAGCGAAAAACGAAGTGAATTTCGCGTGGATGTTTTGTTGTCTTCATTCCTGGCCAAACAGTCCGCGCGAAACTCACCTCGAAATCCGGAACGAACCTCTCCAGGACACTTCAGGCCCATCCTGGTGCTTTCCGAACGAACTCCGCTCTGCGATGTTGGCGCCATGAGAGATCGGCCGGCAGGGGGAGTGAGGCCACACCCGCTCGGACTCGGTCTCGGGGATCTTCTGACCCGGGTCAATCCAGACCCGGGTCAGCGGGAAACCAAAAATCTGCAATGCAGGAAAAAGAACTGCAACGCAGGTCGTCGCAAACCCGGGTCAGCCAATATAGGCGCGGCCGCCTCGCGGCCACGAGCGGCTCGCTGACCCGGGTCAGCCAGAAGGGGTCTTCGCAGGATCCTGCAGGATCCAGTGCCGTGGCTGACCCCCGTCTGCATTGACCCCCGTCTCTTGACCTCCGACTGCTACTCCCCAGACCTCGCCCGGGGTGCGTTCTGGCCAGGAGGTCGGAGCGAGTCCAGCGGCGGCGACGGGCGCCGCCCAGGAGGCCCCCAGGAGTGGAACAGCGGGGGAAGGGTGGGGGTATGGGTACCTCATTGAAGGGGCCCCAGGACACACAAATAAATACACAAATAAAAAGATTGGCCCCCGACGGTCCCGCACCTGCCCCAACCCGGGGGGGCCCTCTGGCGCAGCTGCCTCCCCCCCGGCTGCGCCGCTCTCCACGGCTCCCAGGCCCGCGGGGACGCCCCCCCCCCCTGAGGGCCCGAGCCCGGCAGCTCTGGGCTCGGGCAGGCGGCGCGCGGCAGGCTCGAGGCTCGGGCCTCGAGGCAGGCTCGAGGCTCTGACTACCTACCAGACCACCCCAACCCAACCCGAAGACCCGAATTTCGGGTTGGGGGGGGATAAGGGTTCCACACGTGTTTGTTTCGATGTGTCCCGACCCCCCCCACTGGAAATCGAGGGTAAATCTGAGCCTTCGGGTTGGGTTGGGGTGGTTTGGTGGGTGGTGAGGCTCAGGCTTCGAGGCAGGTGGAGGAGGCCTTCTGAGGAGGCGGCGGGGCTCCTCTCGGGAGCCCTCCGGCCTGCTGAGAAGCTCGCTGCGTCCTCGGGGAAGAGGCTCGTGAGACTTCGCGGAAGGCCGCAGAGGCCTCCTGAGCCTTCTGAGGAGGCCCGCCCCTCCTCACGCTCCCCCGGGCACGCCGCCGACTGGGGGCCCGAGTCACCCGGCTTCCGCTCCAGACTCAGCCGACGGCGTGGTCACCGCACCGCACTGGGGCTGCAGACGCTCGCGGGCGCCCCCCGCCCTCCTATAGGGGCCCCCGGCGGAGCAGGGAGAGCGCACGGCGAGGGGCCGCGGAAGTGGGGGCCGCTCCGGTTGCGGGAGCGGGCCCGAGGCTCCCGAGGGACCTTCCTCGAGCACTCCCGCGGCACCCCCGAGCGAGCTGCCCGGGCCCAGAAGGGGCCTCGTCCTTTGCCCGGGCTGCCTCGGACTCGTGCTGTGAGGGCCTGTCGGCTGGTTTCTGCCACAGCGTGGATCGCTGTCTTGAGCGATCGCGCCTCCCGAGCGCGCAGGATCGTTCGACATCGGCTGATTCGGGGCCACAAACGGTGTTTACCCGTGAGCGCCCGCGCTGGGGTGGCTGCCGCGTCGACACGACACGAACCTGCCGTCGATGGTGGCAAAACTTTGATTGCACACCGCGACCACCACCAGGCCGCGCCGGTGTGATCCCGAGCTCCAGAAGGCCCTCGCCTCGGACGCGGCTGCCCATGCACTAGCGCCTTTCCGCCCGCCAATTCTGGAGTGTTCGGAGCGGAGAGCCGAACGCAGGCCAGGCCGCCATACACAGAGCTCCCTAAGAGAAGCGAGCAGAACTGGACATTTACCCGTCGCCACCTCTAGAGGCCGCCCAGCTGGGGCTGGAGTAGAGATGGGGTCGGAGGATCGCGCCGCATCATCGCCGATGCATCGGCAATGCGGCGCTAAATCGGGATGGAGAAAATCGGGCTCTGGATCTCCCCGTATCGCCGGCCATCCAGCGCGATCCTCCGACCCCATCTAGTCCGAGCTCCAGGTTTTGAAATAGTCGGCTGGGCGTGGCTACGTGGAGCTCGCCGCCGTGCTCAATCCACGGACCCCCCGCGAGGTCGAGGCTTCCCTGCACCAACGTTACAGCTATATGTATGTATACATCGATATACAAATACAGATGTGTACATGCATTAGTAGCTGTATGAACACAGATCTTCATATACACACATACTTGTTTGTGTGTCGCTTCTGGCTCCAACGTTGTCATGATTGAAATCCGCGCGAGGGGGGGGCAATCTGAATTGAAGGGGCCCAGGGACACACAAATAGACAGACCCAAATCCCAGGACCCCCCCCTATGTTTCCACACTCTCTGCATGTTCGTCTTCCCCCCACACACTTCCCTTATCTCCCCATACTTTCTTGGGGCTCGACGATTATTTATGTTTCAGTGCTTCTCCCCTCCTACTGAACTGCGTAAGCTGAAAGTCTGGCCGTGGCGCCGCCCAGAAACCACAGAATGGCTCCGCCGGATCCGCCCCAGAGCGTGCGCCGCCCCAAAAAATGGCTCCCACCCCAAATTGCGTATATAAAGGGGCCCTGGGACACACAAATAAATACACACAAATAAAAATATTCCCCATATTTTCCCATATTTTCTGTGTCTTTGTCTTCCCCACCACTTCCCATATTTTCGCATATTTTCTGGGGAATCGACGATTAATTGTGTCTGTGTGTTTCTTCCCCTCCTGAGTATAATCTGGAGTTCCAGGGGTGCAAGCCAGCCAAACAGCCCGAGTCAACTGCCAGCCATCGATCTGTGGGCGGCCAGCCCGGTAAAAAGTGAGAAGGGGCGGGCCTTCTCGGAAGGCTTGGAAGTCCCCCGGACCCCTGAGAAGTCTTCTGAGCCTCTCCGGAAGGCGCAGGAAGCCTGTCAGCAGGCCGGAAGCCTTCTGAGAAGCCCCGCCGCCTTCTGAGAAGGCCTCCTGCTTCTCACTTCCCCCCCTCGCTCGCCGCCGAATCTAAACAACAAGCCAATCAGCCGAGTTGCCAGTCAGCCAACCGACAAGAAAACCAGCCAACCTGATGACCAAGCGAGGCCGAGCACGCCGTCCGAGGCGGGGCCGCCGGCAGAGGGTGCAGCCCTTCAGACCAGCAGCTCCGAAGGGACACAGCCGGCGCCCAGTGGCCGGGACAGCCAGCGGCTGTGCCCCGTGCATTGTCAGTCTCGGTCTCCCCCTTCCTCGCCCTGCTCCCCTCCCTCTCCCTCTTCTCCTCCCCTGCCCCTCCCCCTCCCGCCTCCCCCTCCCCCTTCCCCATTCCCCTTCCTACTCAATAAGAATACTACTCTCCCTCTTCCCCTGATGACGGTTTGAAAGTGTCCGACCGCCCCCCCCCCGCGTACTGGTGTTTACACACAGGTTTCCCCGGAGTTGGGTTTTCGCCTGCATTTTTTTCAAAATGCTGCTCTCGCTGAGGCGCCAGCCTCATTTTCGGGCCCCGCTCGTTCCGAATCGTGCTCCCGCTGCAGCGCTGGCCTCATTTCCGCGCTTCCGCTCGTTTCGACTCGTGCTCCCGATGCAGCGCTGGCGTCATTTCCCGTGCCATGCCACGGCGTGCAATGCAATGCTAGGTTGATACTACGCTTTGCAGTGCATTTCTACGCCATGCCATGCCTTGCTCTACAATGCATCGCGTACCCTTTCGGGATCATTGCCCTGCTCGACATCCGCCTGTGCGAGTAGAGAGGGGATCTGCGCCATGGTAAGGGATGGGAGGGAGGGGTAGGATGTCAGATATGACCCGAGCGCACCTAGCTTGCCTTCCCCCCCTCGCCTTCCCCTGCCCCCTCCCCCCCCCATTCCGCGCAGGGCGGCCCGAGCGCTCCCTCTCAGAGGTGGAAACTCGCCTGCGGCGCCTCGCCCTGATAGCGGGTGGCGAGCGACCGCACCGCGTTGGGTATGCCGGGCAGCACGTGGATGCTGGCGGGGCCCGCGGGGTGCACGGCCGGCGGGGGCGGCACTCCCGCGGCGAAGCCCGGCAGCGGCGGGCCCCCCGGCGGCCACCCCGCGGCGGGCGAGGCCGCGAAGCCCCAGGGGAGCGCCACGGAGGGCGCGGCCGCACCCGGCGGCGGCATCCCGCAGGGCCCGGCCACGCTGCCCAGCGGCGGCGCCCCGCAGGGCGTGCCCGGCGGCGGCTGCATCCCGAAGGGCGCAGCCACGCTGCCCGGCGGCGCCGCCGCGCCGCCCAGCGGCTGCGCCCCGCAGGGCGTGCCCAGCGGCGGCTGCATCCCGAAGGGCGCGGCCAGGTAGCCCGGCGGCGCCGCCACGCTGCCCAGCGGCTGCACTCCGCAGGGCGTGCCCGGCGGCGGCTGTATGCCGAAGGGCGCGGCCACGTAGCCCAGCGGCGCCGCCAAGCTGCCCAGCGGCTGCGCCCCGCAGGGCGTGCCCAGCGGCGGCTGCGTCCCGAAGGGCGCGGCCACGTAGCCCGGCGGCGCCGCCACGCTGCCCAGCGGCTGCGCCCCGCAGGGCGCGACCGCGCTGCCCAGTGGCGCTGGCGAGAGGCCAGGCAGCGCAGGGCCCGCTGGCGGGGCGGCCATGGCCTGGGACCAGAGCTGCGCTGACCCCTCCCCCCCTCGTGAAGCCGACGAGGGCTTCGGCTTCAGGGAAGCCGAAGACCTGCGCAGCATGGACCCCCCGAGCCCTCCCGAGGCACCCCTCGTGGGTGGTGGTGGGGTGCTGATTCTTGACGCCGGCGACCGACTCGGCGAAGAGCCTGCTGACGGCCTCGATGTGTTTGTTCCACACGGCCAAGGTCCCCGGGCTGTCGGTCGCCGCCGGGGTCCCCGTCACCGACCCTAGCACGGGTTCGGCTGGGGGCGACGAGGGTGTGAGCGGCGTCGGCAGAGCAGGGTACGATGCAACCACGGTACGCTGCGAGGGGAACTCAGAGGAATTGCATCTCTCAGGCAGTGGTGCCGAACCCTGCGCGGGGAACCCAGAGGAATGGTGCCTGTCAGCTGGCCATGCTTCCGGAGCGGCGCTGGCGGTGCCGACGTAGACTGGCGGCGCAATGGCTGTTGCGGCGGCTGTGAGCACGGGCAGGCACGTCCTGTCCTCCACTGGGAAGCCCGAGGGTGCCTCTGCGGGCACGGCGTAGTGGGTCCGAAGGGTGGGCCGCGTCGGCGCGGCCTTCTGCAGCGGCTCGGACTCCACGCCAGGGGGCACGTGCTCGGGCAGGGCCGTGCGTATTCTGGCAGAGCCCGCGATCTCGGTCGCCCAGTATGCCTCGGCCGCACCATCCACCAGCACGAGGGACCCCGAGGACAGCAGCTGCTCGCGGGAGATGGGCCTCTCAGCCACTACGCGGCTGCCCTCGGCCCTGGCGTTGGCCAGCTCAGGCGTCCAGGCAGGAAGGAGGTCACACGCCGCGCGCACCTGCGAGCCCTCGGGCGGCAAAGGCTGCTGGAGGCTGCCGCGCGGCTGGTGGCAGCTCACGCCGAAGCTGGGCCCCAGCCGCACGTCGGTTGCAGCTGCACTCCCCCTATCGGGAAGGAACCGGGCCTGCACGACGGGCGGGATGTCCTCGTCGCACATCCCGCCCACCGGCAGCCCGCAGCGACGGCGCAGTCCAGCCCGAGCCAAAATGGCTGCCACACACAGAGGGCGAGCGAGAGAGGGCGGGGAGAGG